AAGGTCTTTTCCAACCTAAACGATTCTATGATTCTAACAACAAAATCTGCAAACTTAAATTCAGCACACATATTGAACAGGTTGGAAAGCACTGTGCAGAAGTGCTGCATTATTTTTTGTTTCACAGATTGGTTTAGATCATCTGTGTAACACCTACAGTATTGAAGAAATATGTCAAGAACTCTGAACTGGAATGACGTACTGATTACTTTTTCAGTTCATACATGGTTTTGTAATATCGTTTTGTAATGTGGATTTATAAAGTTATGCTATGGAACATAATACAACTGTAGATAGTTTTGTCACTTTGATTTCAAGTGTAAGACTAAAATTAGGAAAAAAATATTAAATGAATGATTGCATTCTACTCAACAATATGTGATTAATTCTAGTTTTATATTTTAAATAGGACTGATTCTCCAAAAATAGTTTAGTCTTGACCTTTGAACCTGTGGAAAATTTTCAGAGTTTCATAGTCTTATGTTTTTCCCCCAATTTCTTAGATGCACACAGTAAAAGGGCAGCCTTTGGAAAATGGAAGTCAGCCATCTGCTCCCTGTCCCTCCTCTCAATCTGATGGTGCTCCAGAAAATACGCAATCCAGAGCAGTAGAGTTTTGTGACTCTCCTGAGTCTGTTACAGCTGAGACAATGAGACCTTCTGCTGGTAATGGTTAGTATTTTTACACAAATGCTAGCTAATTTGCTTTTGAAATAAGTTGTTATATGATGGTACATAAAAGGCAATATATTGAGTGGACTTGTTGAGGAAAAGCTTGCGTATCCCAGAATGCTTCTTGCAAGTCTAGAGGGAAGAGTAACTTGTCATTCTGCTCAGTTTTAATGAGTGAGAAATCTGTGGGTTTTAATACAATAAAAATTGTGTATGCTTTCTTGAAATAGGATTCAATTTTAAAAGTTTGTTTGGGTTAGTAACCTGAAACCAAATTATTGGGGGGGAAGTCTAAATAGCAGAACTGGATATCTCCTTGAGATACCCTAGTTGCTGCAAATTATGGCTAACAGTGAGCATAATGATTTTTTATGATAAGAAGTATACCTTTTATTTTTCTCTTATGCATTACTTTCTTGTAAATCACTTGAAGATGGAGCAAATTCAGGTCAAGCAAGCCAGGAAGCAACAAATTCTTCAGATGAGCAAGTGAGTGATGCTCAGCCTGTGAATGATCTTACACTCAAAGTAGAAAGGTAAGTCTTCTTTTGTAGACTACCTAATGTATTGTATTTGTTTCTCAGGAGGTGGTTTTGTTGGGTTTTGTTTTTCTTTTTTTAACAAACAGGCTTAATTACAGGATTTTTGGTGCTTATTCTGTTATCGTTTGGCACACACTTATGTGGTAGTCTTCTCATTTAGATATCTGGGAATACTAGGGTTGATACAACAGCAGGTTTTAAATTAATCTCATTTCTCACGTACTCTGAAAGAAAAGAGTAATCTGAAAAACTAAAGATGTTGTCCTTATTTTGATATAACTTGAATACAGACAATATGCTGCAAAAATTTTGAAGGAGTTGAAACATTGAATTGAAAGCACTTGAAGCTGGGGTAATAAAGTGGTAACCTAGACTTTGTAGGGATGCCATCTTATTTCTTTTTCTTCTTGTCTACTTGATGACTGTTTGTAGTCTAGGCATGTTGAAAAAGCCAGAGGAATCCTATTCCGAGATGACTCTCTTGTTTTATTGGTGAACGAGGTCTGATGAGCAGTTCTAGTATGTTAAAGTATGGTGACCAGAAATATCTGGTTCAGTACATGGTTTGTTCATTAAATTGATTGGTTTTAAATACAAGATTTTGTGTATAAACTTCTTTTTTTAGCATCTGTAAGACTGATACTATTTGTAATATCCTATCTAAAACCAGTAACACATACTTAGGATTATTTATACTGCTAAAATGTATTTTAAAACTTTTTCCACATTTAATTTCCATTTTCTTCCAAAGTTGTTGGACAGTAAGTATAATTTTTACTTACCACTGATATGAAAATGCAGTCAATATTTTAACATAAGTACCAAAATTCCTTTCTAAAATGTGCATTAATCTTAAATTATGCTGTGTTTGCGTGTATCTACAGCATTTCTTTCGGGGGGGGGGGGGGGGGGGTGGGGAGGTAAAGCGCTGTGGTAATTAGCATTTTCTTTTTAAAAGAAGCAAAACAGCTGCCATACAAACAACATTTTTCTGATTATCTGACTTCTCATGTTGTTTGGTCATGCCTGCCCTTTCCCTGGATTTAAAATATGTTGTAAATTACTGTGGTTTAAGTCAATCCTTATTCTAAGGCACCTTTCTGGATAGATCTATGAGACAGATGCATGGGCAGCTATGTCAGTGCTATATATTATTTGCTTTCCACTTTAGGAAGTGATGTGCAGAAGAAACCAGATGGCTTAAATAGCTATGAAGAGATTGAGATTTAGTGTTTCTGTTAGCACAAATCATAAATAGTACTTGCTTATCGTATGTCTTACAAGGTGGTTCGACAGTAAGAGTATGTAAGAGTCTTCATTTACTGAGTGGAAAAGGATAGAAGGAATATGTTAGAACTCCATTAAAAGTTGGAAACTAGGTGGTGAATCACCACCTCGTCTCTTTATGGATGGTACGCCCGCATGTGAATGAATCGTTACCATTACGCTAGGTATTAGCACTGCGTTACAGTTCATGTTCATTTTCCGGTGTTCCATTCTTCTGTAAGTGTTGGCAAATGCTTCATTAAAATTTTAAAATGTTAGTAACAGATACTGCAATTTTAAGACTTTTCACTTTATTCCTAAATTTAGAATAACAAAAAAGCTTGAAGAAAGACGAGAAGAGAGAAGGAAAGAAGAAGAACAGGTAACACAAAAATGTAAAACCGCTTGCAATTTTTTTTATACCCTGATTTGAATAAACGCTTAGTTCCTTTTTAAACAAATGTACTTCAATCTTGTCCAAGGCAATTTTGTGGTCCAATTTTTGTCTTTATTGTTTATTCAGAAAGAAATTAAGAAAGAAATTGAAAGGAGAAGAACTGGTAAGGAAATGTTGGAGTACAAAAGACGACAGGAAGAAGAATTGACAAAACGTATGTTGGAGGAAAGGAACAGAGAAAAGGCAGAAGAGAAGGCTGCTAGAGAGCGTATAAGACAACAGATTGCAATGGTAAATCTTTCATTTGGGAAGATAGCTTGCTGCTTCTCCCTCTCACAAGGGCTACCAGTGTACTAAGAGGATGACTTTTCTCATTTGGTGAAACTTTGAAAGATTGTCCATTCTTCTGTTTGAAATCCCGTGACCTTGTATGGTAATTTGTGTTTGGGGTTTATGTAGCATTTCCTGTGTATAGAATGAAGCTTCTGCTTTCATGTTCACAATGATGTTTTCTATCTGAACAAACATACCAACTTTTCTGTCACACTGCTTGAATCCAGTGGAGAATTATCATTTAAACATAAAAATAATTGCAATTTAAGCATAGTTCTGGAACAGAAGCAAGGGTGTATTTAATTGTGGAACATGCAGAAGAACACTGATCTCAAAATGGTGGTGAGGATTGTTTTCTAAGTTTGTGCGTATATATGTGTGTACATGTATGGATATAAACAATTTGTAACAAATGAAATCCCTCCTCATTATTAGGTTTTGGTCTAGAACACTTAGAATTGTAATCGTGTAACTTGTCATGAGACTTCTCCCTGTGTCTTCACCGGAGTGTTAAACTTGCATGGGAAGATCATCCATTAACATCTATTTGCATGAAGTGACTCATTGAAAAGTGTCATCCTGGCTAATGACATGAGGTTGTGCAGTTTGGCAGTGAATAATTCCTGGCAGCACTGTCTTTTCTCCTCATTAGGTACTGAGTACAGATCGTAGCTCTCTGTTTGAATGAATATTAAGCTACAATTCATGGTAAAAATTAAGGTTTCTGTTTGGTCCTTTCACAGGATCGTGCCGAGAGAGCAGCTCGCTTTGCAAAATCAAAGGAAGAAGCAGAAGCTGCAAAAGCTGCAGCTCTTCAGGCTAAACAGGCTGAAATAGAGGCCAGAAAAGAAGCATCTCAAAAGGAGCGAAGGTGAGTTCCTGTAGAGAAAGAAGTGTATGTTTCTGGGGAGCGAGGTGAAGAAACCTTACATAAACTTTTAAGAGATTTAGTATACATGCTAATCTATTAATTGATGCCATGTTGAACTGTTTAAACAGTGACATAAAAAGTTGGCTTTCTTTTATATTGTTTATTCGTAGCTCTTTACGTGAATAGCCTGTTCTCTGATAACTTTCATCCTTTTGACATTCCTGATTATGAAACACTGACCGCCTTTCCGTGTGCGTTATTTCAGTTAGAGAAGAGCTTTTGCTGTCTGATCTTTCATTTAAATGCCACATATAATGGGGCGAGGTGGGGAACTAGGTGAGGTGAGAACGTGATAGCTAATGACTAGATAATGTCCGTACTGCACGGGGGAGCATGGTACCGACCCAGCTGTTTGGCTGCATGCGCAATTGGCTTGGATTCAGCGCGGCTCAATTGGACTCATCAGCTGGCTGGGTCAGAGCTGTCTCCTGCTTTGCCCAACGCTGCTGTTCCAGGAAATACTCTAACCTGTAGAGACCTTACATGGAGCCACCGTGAGTCTAGCAGTGCCCCTGAACAGTGGGCGAGCACAGGATGAACCCTGTGTTGGTGTTGAAACTCCAACAGTAATGCTGGGCCGTAGCTAATCGAATATAGAATCACTTGCCAAGCCAGCTTAAATGTCTGTGCCCTCATAGTACAACTTCTTGAGAAAAGAACAAAAATAATACAGGCTACACAAAAGAAATACGGTGTGTATTTCATTCATGTATTAACTTTTTTGCATGATTAATGTAAATATCTTGTTTGAATGGTGATGGGTCTTGAACTCTGATAAAAACCAGAGGAGATGCATTGTGATATCTAGAAGATGGTTATCAACTGTGGATCCAAACTTGTAACCCATCTGCACTGCCATAAGTAGGGTGACTGTCCCTCTCGTCCACATTTCAACACTACCAAGCTAAAGGCCCAGGAGCGTTTGTCTGTAACTGTTCATGTGCTGACTGACCCCGATACGTGTCCTGCAGTGCAATAGCCAGGATTCAGTTCCGCCTCCCAGATGGATCTTCCTTTACTAACCAGTTCCCATCTGAAGCACGACTGGAAGAAGCAAGGCAGTTTGCTGCGCAGGTAAATCAGTGTTCCATTTTCTCAGCTATGTGCTGATTACAATTTGGTGTAGCATCAACTAGTCGTTGATCGTGGTGGAATTGTCATCAGCTGCTTTCCTTTTTGTTTATTTGAAGGGGGTTTTGGTAGCAGCCTTTGCCAGCATCACCAACTGCTTTTGTGTTACTGCAGCATGTTATTAGTAACAGGTAGTGGGATACGACAAATCCTCCATTTCTCTATAGGAAGATGATTGATAGTTTGATGTAGAACTCTTGGGTCAGTATGGCAAGGTATAAGCTGGCAATTCTGCAGTTGTTTGAAAGTGAACAGTTATAAATAAAATGCTTTCTTTATATTTTCACAGACAGTTGGTAATGCTTACGGCAATTTTTCACTGGCGACAATGTTTCCCAGAAGGGAGTTTACCAAAGAAGATTACGGAAAGAAATTAGTGGAGCTAGAGTTAGCGCCCAGCGCTTCAGTAGTGTTGCTGCCGGTAGGTGTTGGGTTTTGGTTTGTTTGCTTTTATGTCCTTGCAAACAGCAAAGCTGTCGCTGCATAGCTGCTTTTAGTTGGCAATGATAACATTTGAATTTTGGTCTTTTCTGTGTCTCAGATGGATTGCAAAATTACTTTAATTTTTCTCAGGACTGATTTGGAGAAGGATTTTCTCTGAAGCAGATAAATGGTGGTATAGGTATTTGTCTAACGTGTAACTAGAGGAGTTCTCTTGTGTCTGCTGAGCTGCTTCTAAATTATGTATGAAATACTCTGTCTACAAGAGCACGACTTCAGTGTCTGACAAGTTTGCTTTATGTGTTCATGACCAGGCGGGAAGACCTGCTACTTCCGTTGTTCAGGCTTCAGGCGGTGATCTGTGGAAGTTCTTGGGCACAATACTTTATCCCCTCTTAGCAGTTTGGAGATTTATTAGCAACTTCCTGTTTACGAGTCCACCCCCCTCACAGTCCACTGTGAGATCAGCGCATCAGCAAGACCATTCAAATCCTTCAACATCGAACAGCGTTGAGCAAAGCAGGTAATCCCAACCGTTCGAGGCAGCTATTTCTCGAGCTGCTGGCTGGCACTGTTTTCACGTAGTGTCATTGTCATGTTTTCATCACATAGTGGAGAACTGAACCGTATCTGTCTCTTAACCGCTGCCCTCTCCTTGTAGTTTCTGGCCACCACCCTTCCACCTGCTTAAAAGGGGATAACCCAGTGGCTGGCGAACTGCATGGCAGCTCTGACTAGGATTTGTTGGTTTTTACATGGGTGATTAAGCAAGAGCCATATTGTTTGCTGCTTCAGTTTCCAGTTACAGACTAGAAAAAGCATTGCCTTGCAGTCATTTATGAGTAGGCAGTTCGGCTGTAACTATAAACCTGGGCTTCACTTGAGCTGATACTGTTCGGAAGATAAGAATTTTGCAAATCAGATGTTAAAGTGTTATGCTATGGTTGTACAAGAAACCCGAGCAACTGAAGTCTGATTCTGACAGTTGAGGTTTTGTATTGCCTAGCAAATGAGAGATCTGCTCTACCAGGAGAGCCGCTGGGCTGGTTCACGTGACGCAGCCACCCATTGCTTCCATGACAGGTGCTTTCCAGGGGAAATGAGATTCTGTCAGTTTGTCTGATTCCTAAACGACAAACCTTCAGCTGGGTATTGCTTCCCAAGGAGACACAGGGCTGAAGAAAACTACTATTGGGGATAAGAGAAGGAAGGATGCATGATTTGCACAAGAAGCGAATGCAAAAAATGCAGTTATTACTAGGGGCAGCTGTCAAACCTCTCTGTCATTTGTACCCTAGGCAAGCAGTCAGGAAACGAGTAGTGGAAAAGCGGGGAGAAGACTTCAAAAAAGAAGGCAAAATATATAGACTGAGGACTCAAGACGATGGAGAAGATGAAAACAATACTTGGAATGGAAATTCTACACAACAAATGTAGTTTTGAGTAACTGCAGTAATCACTGTCTGGCTTTTTTTTTTTTCTTTTTATTTGATCTAAGTCAACTAAAGCTTCTGGACAAGTGGGGCTTATTTTACACTGACTGAATTGCTTAATCCTTATTCCTGTAGCGGAGTATGGAATAAAGTCACCTAAGTCAGAAAAATGGAGTGGGTGTGGCTGAGGCCTAGAAGCAGAGAGTTAAAAAGACTGAAAATCTCCATCAGCTTTCGTAATCATTACCCTACTGCCATAGAAAGGCACTTTTTAATCTATAAATATTCTGCTATATAAATTTAAGGGCCAGATATTAATATAAAGGTCATGGTAGGCAATGACTGATTGAGGGTTTCAGAAGCACTATAAGTAGTAAATGGGGTAATTAATTTATGTTCAATTTTTTTCTTGCTTCTGCAACTGCAAGCAAAATCTTTGTAGTTTTTAATTCCCCAAGCACTCAATAAACTATTTTCCAGAAAACATAACTGTCTTTTCTTGTGAAGTTCCTCTGAAGTACTTGTGTCACAAGGAAGCAAGCAGTTAGGATCATACACTGAAATTTAAAATAGAGCGGACAAACTTTTTGTTCCAGTTTAAATGACCTTACTCGGGAGTTGTTCATACTAAAATCTGGTAAAACACATCGGAAATAGTGTTTTGGGTCCAGGCTATGGTACAGGAAGAAAAAAAAAAAAAGGGTCTTTATCACATAAGATGGAAATGTTGTTAGCAGGGGGCTGCAATACAAGAGCCTGGAAGTTTGTTTTTTTGGGGTTTTTTTTTGGAGGGAGGGTCATAGCCTTCCCCCATGGAAGGGTGTCAGCCTTCCTTCCCTCACAGCAAGTACTGTGCGCCTCATTGCTGGAGACCAAAATACTACGGCTGCTCTGCCCTGCGTCCGATTCCTGTTTAAAGGAGATTTAATTGAGTATTGCATTCTGTGCAATTGTGAAGGCATAGTACTAAGGCCACTTCCATTATTTTTTTTTTTTAATAATTGATGATACATAATTCAAAAAATACTGTATATGAAATAAAGGAAAGGGGAGAAAAAACCCAATACAGTAGCTGCAATAGAACAGTACGTTCTCCTTGACCAGTTTTCACCAGTGTAGACAGTAACTTAAAAACACTCAGAAGCGGTAGCGTTTCTAGGGGATGCTCTCAGATCCCTTGAAGAGATCTGCATCACCCAAGGGGAGATGATGAAGCCAGAAGAGATGAAAGTTCAAGTTCAGAATCCTTATGCAGATAGGAACAAGCAATTTTACTTTTGTCTTTAAGAAATCAAATCAATAATGCCTGGGGAGAAAAAGAGACAGTTAACATAGAAAAAAATTTGCCTTTGTATTTTGAACAAAATGCTGGGGAGCTATGTCTAAGGCAAGACACAAAGTTGCAGCAGTACGAGCACTAGGGTTTTTTTCCTGGTGCTCTAGGCTTTTTTTACCAACAAAGAAACCAAACAAACACTTCAGCAAGTGGAAACTTTACAGTTTACTAAGTTCCATGTGTGATTGTTTACTGGATCTTTTGGATAATTTTCCATACATATAGGCAAAAAGAGCCAAGCCCAGTGCTCCAACTGCAGAAAGAGCAAAAAGCATGTACAGTGCTATTTCTGCGCTCTCTGCTGTTAAATCTAATCCCAAAAAGCGGACGCTGCCAGCCGGTCCTGGTGTGGTGTCTGTTGGTGTCACTGTCCCTGGGAAAACAAAAAGTATTAGTGCACAGCCTGGGGTGAACGCTTTCGTGCACGCATGTGCATCGCTGCTGCCTGCCTCCGCAAGGCTTTCACCGTTGCTTTTCTGTACTCTGGCAGTAGCCGTAATTCTTTGGGATCGGTGATTGACACAATTCTAGCTCAGCGCAGAGGCACAGCTGAGGCTGGCAGTGCAATTTTTGAGGCTCCAGGAGAGGCGAGTATTCTCTGGCAGCCATGGTCATCCCAAAAAGCTGATAAAAACAATTATTTAAAAACCCTGCACTAACAATGGTTGCTGTTTGATGTACTCCTCTAGTTCAGAAAATGTAAATGACAAAAGAGTATTTCCAAAGGCTTGCCCAAAACACCGAGTCATAAAGTATTCAAAATTGTTTAGAAAAAATGGTGTGGGAATACTGAATGTGTGTGGTTTAGAAAATATCTTAGGCAGTTCTGTTAATCAGAGAGAAGTAGAATGGGATAACTTTTTTTTGCTGCATTTTGGACACAGGTGTGTATCAAGGTGCTAGCACAGAAAATTTAGTTCTTGTTCTGGTTTTGCATACAGAAGTGACATAATGCCACATGAATGTCTTCAGCCGTAACTGATGACTAGTCACTGTGCTACTGAGCCCTTAAAAAGAATACTGGAGAAAACAGTGGTGTCTTAGAATCAAAGAGTCGTTTAAGTTGGAAAAGACCTTTAAGATCATCCAGTCCAACCATTAACCTAACACTACCATGTCCACCAGTAAACCAGTTAAGGGGAGAGTAGCAATTTCATGTTTCCTGGCTTGGTGGCTGGATTATTTTTAATGAAAGTAAAAACTAGGAATCATTAAGGTTGGAAAGGATCTCTAAGATCATCAGTCCAACCATCAACCGAACACCACCATGCCCACTAAACCATGTCCCCAAGTGCCACGTCTGCCCATTTTTTGAACACTTCCAGGGATGGTGACTCCACCACCTCTCTGGGCAGCCTGTTCCAATGCTTGACCACCCTTTTCGTGAAGAAATTTTTCCTAATATCCAATCTAAACCTCCCCTGGCGCAGCTTGAGCCCATTTCCTCTCGTCCTATCACTAACTACTTGGGAGAAGAGACCGACCCCCACCTCAGTACAACCTCCTTTCAGGGAGTTGTAGAGAGCGATAAGGTCTCCCCTCAGCCTCCTCTTCTCCAGGCTAAACAACCCCAGTTCCCTCAGCCGCTCCTCATCAGCCCTGTGCTCCAGACCCTTCCCCAGCTTCGTTGCCCTTCTCTGGACATGCTCCAGCAACTCAGTGTCCTTCTTGTACTGAGGGGCCCAAAACTGGTCTTTGGGATTGGAATCAGATGCACACACAAGCACGATTTCTGCTGCATCGCTTACCTTCCGGCTCCAGCGCCAGACAGGGATGCGGGCCCATTGCTGGGTCTGGAAACCCGTTGCAGTTTATGATCTGCGAGTAATACCTGGCAGAAGCCTTGGGGCGCCGCGGCAAGCTGGGGTCTGTGAAATTCACGTGATAGAGCCCAAACCTTTCGTCAAAGCCCACTGCCCACTCGAAGTTGTCCATCAGTGTCCACGCGGTGTAGCCTCGTAAGTCGACGCCGTCGAGCACCACGGCTGTTAGCAGGGCCAGACAGAACAGGTTAGTTGTGCAGCCGGGTGACGGGAGGCATCACCACGGGGCGGGCAGTGGCACAAAGATGCTCCAGGACGCTCCACAGCAGCAGGGTGCCAAGCGCAGTGAGGTTATTGCCACGGTGGCCTCACTGGTTTTGTCATCTCCCTGGTCCCACCTCTCTCATGTGTTGCCTTAGCTCAGTTGCTCTGAGGTAGTTCAGCTGCCAAATTACAGCTAACGAACAACCAGGGTTGCTCAGTCAGCCTGCCAGCATTGGTGGCCGCTGTTCTCTGCTCTAAAAAGCAAAACTTTTATCCAATTAAGCAAAGGTTCAGGCATAGGGAAGAAAAGCCATCAACGCGCAACTGGGGTTTACACAAATGCTCGTGGGGCCTCGCTGCCAAAAGGCAGTAACCGAGCGCTTTCTGAACATCCGGCTGGCAGCTCCCAGGACATCAGAATAGCGAACTGAAAAAGCCCTTCCCCGATGTTTCTTGACGGCTGCTCTAATCTAAACCACTTTGGCCTGGGTTTTTTTGAAGAGATGCAGTTTTTAGACACAGCAGTAGTCAAACTATTAGTCAAAATAGGTATTCGTAACCTACCCGTCAAGTAGTGGAACCTTCTCCTGCCAGATGCAGCTATACAAAGAAGCCGCAGTTACCCTACCAAACCCAGGGTTTGTTCTTCCTTTGGGTCACCTTTCCCTGCAAAGTCGTGGCTATCCAGGGCCAATTTCTGCTAAACCCGCAGGCGCTCAGAAGCAGATACAGACTAAACCCACGTGGGCGTACACCTTGCAAGTGTGATGGCAGTGGTCTTTCAACTCTTGCTTTATACACATCAACAACTTGCTTTATACACATCGGTCTTGTGGCAAGACGCTGCTGCTTGCTAGAGATTTGGATGAGCATCTTGAAATAATCTCTCTTACCTTTCAGTGCTTCGTTAATGTAGCTCCGATAGTAATGCATTCGCCAAGTGTCGTTGAAGCCTAAGGCTCCCCTTTCTGAGATCCCGTTTTCAGTCACGTAAATCGGAGGGTTGTTGTACTCGTTCTTTATCCATCGCAGGAGCTTTCGGAAGCCAAAGGGTGTCACCTTTAGCCAGAAGGAACCAGACTTCAGCCAGCTGCGGTCGGTCACGGAAGCTACACCCCTGCGGAGGAGGACACACTCATCAAGGGACCGGTCCCAAGCGCCTGCTGCTGTGCCTGGCACCTCGTTGCTGCAGGGCTGAGAAATACGGTGCTGAGCTCTGCGGAAAACTGACCCAGAGGTGACATTATGGCAAGCTGGCAAAAAGCACAGCGGGCTGAGGTGGTGCTGGTGCTCACAAGCCTCTAGGAAACACTTCTCATACTTTGCTTTACAGTCATATTCTGCTTAAATCAACTATGGCTGAGGATATGGTGCTAGCTCCAAATCTTTGTCCTTTGACACCATTATTACTGTTCAACGTACAGCGCAGTGCTTGAGCACACAAAACTGCCATTTACACGTACATCTGGGAATGCAAGATTGGGCCCAGTGTCCTTCTGTGGGGCTAAACCACAGGGGCTGGGATGCAGCAGCAAAGGGAAGTTGTAATACGTTCATATATTCTCTGTGGAAACGTTTCAGAAAACAGCCTGTGTTCACCCCATGTACGGGCCCACCATTACCTTAGTTCTCATCAGAAAACTAGTAAGGTCCTACTGTTTACCTTTTGGAGCTGGGGAAAGAAATGGGTATCTCAATAAAAAAATCTTGACATATATACTTAAGCATGAAGTGATTTAGTTATCTAGGCTTTGAACTCACATTTATCCAATGCGGTGAGGGAGCTAACAGCTGTTTCACAGCAAATGGAGCAGTAGCAGGATAATCTAGCAGTGCAAACTGCGCATTGGGGGCAGGAATACGATAAATACAGTTTACAGCTGATCCCAAACTGCTGGGAGACTCACAAGTGCCAATTCCTTCCTTTAGTAGATCCTCTAATTTTCTTTGTTCTGTTTTAACCATTCACGTTTATCATCAGGTCTGTAAAAAGAGGGCTGTTGCTGCACTTTTGTGAAAGTAACAGTGCCACAGGTACTGTTTGGGGATGTTTTCCCTAGCATTGGTTAGACCAGCTTAAAATACCTGTCTCACAGCTTTATTTGCTATCAGTTTATATTGCTCAGTTGGCCCAGGCTCCAGGGTGCACATATTTTACTTGAACAGTAATTTATGTTCATCTCTTACCTGTCAGAGTCATACGACAGAACACCAGCAGGATATTTTACATTGTATGTTAAAACGGTAGTATAATGATTTAGACCAAAGTAGTCATATGTGCCTTTAATTCTTTGCTTTTCACTTTCAGTAAATTCTGGAAGTCTACAATAGAAAACAGAGAAAATCATAAACCCCTCAAAATGTATGTCTTCTCAGGATTTCTCCTTCTTTTGCGTCTATCCCTCCCCAGTCCTGTGGTACAAACCAAGCTTTTGCTAGAATATGCAATTCATGCTGCCTGCGCCAACATTTTCCAGGAGAACAGCCCTTTCACTGGCCAGAGAAGGGACACCTGATGGCTGGAGGCCCTGCTCATGGTCAAACAAGACATTTGCCCATCATCCTGCTTTTGTAAGACAAGAAAGAGCATTTGCCCGGTCAGGAATGTGTTGGGAGGAACTGGGAACAATCATTTTGGTTGTCATGTGCTTGCCACACCCCACGGAGAGCCAGCGCTGCAGTGGTCAAGAGCGCCCTGGCTCAGCCCGCCATCCTGCAAGAGCGTGACTAGCTCTGACAGAGGGAAGCACAAAATGGTGCCTCCTAGCAGCCCATGGCATCCAGGGGTCCTGTCCCCACTCAGGGGAGCTGTCACGAGCCCCCTCAAAACACTGTACTCATGCTTGCACGCACTGAAAGTGCAGCCAGCCACCTGTGCCGAGACGTGCTTCGCGGGGGCAGGGGAGCAGGCATCTGCTACAAAAGGAGCTCTTCTCTGTGTGGCAGTAGTAGGCCTTGGTAGGTCATGGCAGAGGCTACTGTTGTCTCATAAACTCTGGCTTCTACATGAGAAACAATAAAACTTCTGAGCTTTCTCCCCGAGATCCACCCTTTGAACACACTCCATGTGTAATGCTGGTACCCCTGCTACCAGCACCACAAGCACAAGGGGAGGTACCATGATCCTTCTGGAGGAACACGGCAAAACCCAGGAGAAACTGGGAACTAGGCTCTGTGTGTGGACTCTACCATATAATCCCAAAGTGCTTGGTTCCCTTCAGAAGGGAGGCCTCCACAGAAAAGAACATCCCCCTTTGGGATCTGCAGCCCTGCACAGAGTAAGAAACGGAGTCAGGGGTACCCTGGAGCGACGTTTCAGCTCTCTTTTAGCGAGAAGAGGGAGAAAATTCTCCTGGGAATTAGCTCCCCAGGCAATCCCTGCTGAAAATGCAGCCGGTGCTCCTGGCAGTTTGGTGATGCTTGAGAGTTTGCAGTCTTAGACTGAGGACAGGACTTCTTCCCCAGATTGAGATGCTTGGGCACGTTATCTCATAAAGCAACACGCAGTGACTTTGCTCTCTTATTAATGGCAGCAACCGCCAGAGAAGAAATAACATGTCAAAAAAGGTGCTCAAGAATGCAAGTGTTTCAGCCACATAGAGAAGCATAACTGGAATCCTGGAGACCTGCCTTTGCTGCAGAGCACACACACTGACTCTTCCACCACCTCCCTCATTTCGAAACAAGTGGTCTCTCACATTTTCAGAGAGGAATGATCAGGAATAGCCCCAGATCTAATACACCCCATCAAATTGCTATTAAAATGAAGGGACGGGGGAAAGTTCTTTCCATATATGTGTCTAAAAAGGGAGAGAAAGGGAAAAACATTCATGATGGAGCACTGCTAGCACAATAGGGTGAAGAATAATTAATGGGAATGGAAAAGAGGAAACCTAATTCAGAGGGACCGATGAGTTCTCAGTGCTCAAGTTCAGGACATCATTTTAAGAACAGTTAAAACACATTTACCGTGGTCAGGTAAAGCACTCTGTCTAATGCAGATCATTTACTGTATCACTCTGAGCTGCCAACTTACTATCCCAAAGATATATTAGTAAATTTAGTTTGCAAGAGAGATAAAGATAGGGAACGGCAAAATGTACATGAGAGTTTTTCTGTGAGGATGCAGTAAGATTTTTACAGTAACATGGAAATTTAGCACTTCTTTCAGAAAAGCAGGTTTCAGCACAGCAGACCTGCCTGGGCTCTTACCGGGACTGGCTCAGGCCCTGAGCCAGACTGCGTTCCCGAATCCTCGTTTTCATCACTTCGTTATAATCGCCATTTTTGAAAATGGGATGAGCAAACCAACCTAGAAAAAACTGAGCCAGGAAATAAGGGAGAAGGATAAATTATGTATCAAAACAAGGGATTTAACCATCTCTCCATGTGCTGCTTTATAGCTAGTACCTGAATTTATAATGAGCAGGCACATGGAGATATGCAGGGATGCCCATTTAATGGCAGCAAATTTAATAAGCTTTTGGCACTGCAATCGTATTTTGCCTCATTTCTGTTGCATACTTGATCAGCCACCAGAAGAGGGTGATACATTTCCTTGCAGTGATGCCTGTGGCTCATCCTTTTTTTTCATGCTGGCACGGTGAGATGCTGACCTGGGGTTTGGGCATCTCCAGCACCCAGGATGGGGGTCCCACCATGAACAAACCCAGGAGCAGCAGGGAGAGCTGTGACCGGGTGTCACTGTACCTGCAAGTATTGTCTGGCAGCATCGATGTCCTCCTGGTTGTGTGGGTTCCTTGGTTCTGCCCAGTCAGAGTTGATGGTGATAGAGATTAATCCTCCTTGTTTTGCCCGGTAGGTCTCGTTGTAAAGGTGCCAGGCTTCTGCGTGGGCCTTTATTAAGTTGTGCCCCACCACGTAGGGGGCTCGCCCTGGCCGAACGGAGATGCCTGCAGAGACAGTGACAGCACAGGCAGCGGAGCAGCAGTTCCCAGCTTTCTCATCGCCTGCTTTCCAGGTTAACGCAGCACCCGAGACACCCACGCCTGCTAGTAAATGAATAAATGTGCAGCACCCCTGGGGCCCTGCCCTGGACCGAGACCGCTGCTTCGGCAGAGACAGCTGAAGGTGCAGCTGCAGC